GCCCTCACCGGAAGTGATGATTGCTGCTGTTAGCTAGCTAGCTAGCTGGCAACAACAGTTAGCAGTACCAAATAATTACAAACTGCTAAACCCTATTAACCCTATTCAATTCACAAACTCTTCTTTTCAACATGGTATAGTAGTATGTTACTTAAACAGGGAGAAGAAAAAAAACACACGTATAACATTAATTGCTTTAGTGCTGTCTTGACTGGAGCAATACTTGCGGCTGGTTGGGTAACTTCCTATACGCAGCCAAGATGGCGGTCATTAAGAGGGTTAGGATTCCAGAGTCCCACACTTTAGTTTTTGACCGTTATGAGTGCACTATCTGAGTACTTAGTGCATTTTGACATGCTTGGCATTGGGACAATTATGATTGATGATATGATACAGATCATTTCAGTACAGAATTACCCACATTGAGACAAATAGACAATATATAAGTACAGTCCATTTATAATTTACGAAGCATTAGAGACTGTCTAGTGAATATAGTAGAGCCTTTAACAGCTCAAGAGACACATTTTCCCCTCAGGAGGAGGAAAGGATTAAACAGTGAATTTTGTAGGTGGACACAATATGGGTGTGTAGGTAGATAGGTATTATTTGTGTGAACAGATTAATAATCTGTGTGTAAATGTGTAATCTGTAAATATTAATCCCCACAAATACAAAAACATTTTGGGAAATGTACAAAAATGTTTTTGCAAATATAAAAAGAATCTGCAAATATGCAAACAAATTCTACAAATAAAATGAATATCTGTGAATACTATACTTCATTTACATACAAAAGAAAAGCAATGTCTGAATGTGAATATCTTTCTAACATTTACAACTATCGATCAGGCATTTGTTGTATTTGTGGATATCAATTCTCTGTTTGTGTATCGGCTTTTACAAACACACAGTTTTGAGACAAACTTCCCGCCGGTCCGAGCGAAAATCTACTCGTGTCACTTGGACAGTATGGTTAATAAAGGCCACACATCAAACATGAATGTTAATTCATTTAACATAATTGTGGTCTCTGGTATTAAAGTCAGACACACCACAACCAACCAACAACCAAAGTTAAAAAGTCTAACTTTAGACATCTCTACATGAAGCAGACACTACTTCCTGTTTGGGACTTAACATTGGCACACGACGCAAATTATGAGATGAAGAATTCTCCAGGATGGACTTAATTGTAGCATATGGGTGATATACTCATTCTCCTCTTCCCTGTTCCTCTTGTTCGGCCATTTTGCTCTCTTTCATACACTCTGCCCTCTCCTCTTTGTTCTCTACCATACCTCTTTGTCTGTGTTCTTTCCCCTCTTTTGTTACATGTCCTTCTATTTCTCTTTGTATCATGTCTCACTGTGTCTCTGCTCCACCATCATCATCTGGTGCCCTGACTCTGTGGTAATTACCATCATGTCGGGTACCACTGACCATCATTACAGTCAGTAACAGTAAATCCTCGGGGGGGGGTGAGGTCAGTGTGTGTTATCACAGAGTGAACATCATGAAATGGCTTCCTGCCTCCCTACTGTATGTTTCATGTGAATATTAAACCATCACCAAGTCTTTATTACCACCACCGCGAGGAAGATGTAAAATAAATCCAATATATTTTAGATGTTTTCTACCTCACTAACATTTTGGATGAATTTCATTTGTGTGTTTTTGTTCCTCTGGGCGTCCGAATGGGGTTAATAACCTTCATACAGTATAACTATGATAATAATAAAACAAATCAATATTACTATAACTGAAGGCTGTTGTGTCTCAGTACAGTAAACAGATATATTTGTTTAAATGTTGCTGTTGGTTTGGTTCTTATCAATCAATATTTGTCATTGTTTACATTGCTTTTATTCAGACTATTTTATACTAATCTGTCTATATAACTGCTGCAATTCTTGTTTAAATGGTTCTATACAAATATAAAGCTTATTATTAATATTAATATTATTATCAAGGTTGAGTCGAGTTCCAAGATCTGCTTTACAAATAAAAACTGAATGACCCACTGTCACCATTTCAGGCTTATTTCAGTTTATTTAGTGGTTCCCAAATCCACAGAAACCTTATAAGACATTCACATTCCACTGACCTAACTAAACCATCACTGTACTGAATGACTTTTATTCCATCAGTGCGCGAGTCCCTGTCGAGTCACGAGTCCTGAAAATCGGGGACTCGTGGCAAACACTTTTTTTCTCAATCCACTTTCTACATGAAAACTCAAACTTGAAAGTTGGACCAGTTTTGAAAAGTCACTTGAGATATTTATCTATTTGTTATGTATTTGGTTATTAGCAGATCTGAAAAGCTGCTGTATCAATTGCGGGAAACAGGTTCAACCGGTTCTTTAAACGCCTCATTTACAAAACTTTGTGACCAATCAGGAACTTTGATTTATCATCTTGCAAATGATCAGATTGAAGTAAGCTTTGATACTGATCTGGATGTTAAAAAGAAAAGTAAGCATGGTGCAAATATATTACACCAAAAACAATTCAAGCTGCACAAAATAAAGATCAGTGTACACACACACACACACACACACACACACACACACACACACACACACACACACACACACACACACACACACACACACACACACACACACATTTTCACCACTACTAGACCTTGTGATTTGCCTCATCTCAAGAGCTTTTAATTGTGTATTAAGATGTTTAATGTGTTTGATTTGCAGAGATGTGCCAGAGGAGCCAAATAACAGGATTTTAAGTATCACGGCCAGACTGGCTCCCAGCGTGGTGTCCAGGGAATTCTAAAGCTTCATGACACATTGTTTCATTTCATCGTCTGCCACAATGTTATCAGGATGATGTTTTTCAGTCCTGGTATAGAAGGAGAAAGCTGTTGCAGGATTCACTAACGCTACAAATATGAAGGGTGCATCAAATCATACCAAATCAGAGGACAATCTGTTGGACAGCAGTTACAGGGGCTGTGTACCCATGCACAAGTATTTGGAATTGGGAGGTTTTAAAACATCACAGTCAAATGGATGGTTTCACATGTATGTTACAGCCTGTAGATTACTGATCATATTTCTACATTTTCCCAACTGCAAATGAAACAAACTGCAAAACTCTTCTCCAGCACACAACGCTCTATCAACCTATTAGTCTGTATAATTATATTACCATATACCAGTGGCAGAAGGTGTACTAAGATGATCTTTAAAGAGGACACGTAGCTATAGACCGTGGTTAATACAAGTTTACGAGAGTTCTATGTTTTGTTTTCCGACATAAAATATGTCAGTAAGTATCATAAACATGTGTTTGCCACAGATCTTATTTATTGCAATATTCTGAAATCTGCACTCAAAATCAAATCAAAAAAGGATGGTAAAAAAGAATATGCACATTTGGTATTAACTTTGAATTTTTTATTTCTCGCTGTGCTTTTTTTGTCTCCGCAAGAGCAGTATGCTGAACCATCTTTACAGCTCCTGCTGCAGTGCTGCAAACACATTCATTCATGTTCTTAGTATGGTCTCCCCTTGTTAGAGTGGACACTGAAACAGCTGTGACAAAATAATATTTACCAGCACCACAAACTGCAGCCTCTCAAATGACTCTACAGTATCACTCAACATTTGAGCCTTCATGAAGGAGGATGCACGGCAGCACTTTAACCAGGTGGAACTCATAAACTCAGTGTATATCAACATGCAGATCATTTATTGTTTATGTCTAGGTCAAAACAAATTGTTATCCTAATTTAGGACAAAAACTATGGAACAAAAGTGTTTGTTATGTAGGGAGCAGCTTTATGCCTTTTAATGGAAATAGCTTTGCTCTGTCCGTGGTGTTGAAGCATGGACCATCAGAGTCAGTACTTTCTGAACCTTTAACCGGGCTCACAAGGACTCTTTCTGCTCCGTCAATGGTACTGAACCTTTGGCTACATGGACCAAATTCTGAAAGCAGAAACACTGAACATGGGGAACAGATACGTGCTTGTTCTTTCTTTAGAAAAAAACCTCAAGCTTGATTTTAGGAATGTAGTCAAGAACCCTTTGAACATGGTATAACTTGGGTTTATTCTACACAGTCTCACAAAAAAACGTGTAATAGCTACATTGGTCGACAGGGCAAAACGTAGTATATTCACAAATAACCCTCTCAAGACGTGAGATGGATACAATATTTTGTAAAAAAACAAACATGGAGCTCAAATAATCTTCGTAATATCTATCAAACTATAGATCCTCATCCTACACATCCACTGGACGTAGATTCTAAAAGTAAAATGTAAACTTCTCGCTAGAAATGTAATCAAAAAGCATTATAATAACTATCCTACAATTTAGGATTTTCCACTAAAAATAAATCGGGTGTCTGCCATGTTTTTTTTTCTCATGCTGGGAAAGTTTGCGATCCATGGTCACCGGTCATTAGAAATGAATATAGGAACAAATATTGTATCCATGTCACGTCTTGAGAGGGTTATTTGTGAACACACAACGTTTTGCCCTGTCGACCAAAGTAGCTACTACACGTTTTGTTTGTGAGACTGGGTTGGTTTATTACAATTCGGCCTCTTTACAAAACGGTCAACAAGATCATCAAGCAAGCCACAAAGAAATGTAAAATATATTTTTTATATTAAAAAACAAAGACAACCCATTTGATATGAGATGATACTGACAAGAACATGCCTTATTGAGTATGAATCTGCTTGTTTAAGTCACACATCAGGTAAGGACAGAAAATTAGAACAGACGTATTTTTTCCCTTTTTAAATGTAATCCCATGTCTCCAAGAGCGACATAGAAATGTGTTGATGGCAGGCATTATATGATATTATTGAATTTCATTATGCGTTGCGCTCGTGACCTGCCATCCTGCGAACGAGAGGGGGGGTTGCTGACGCCAGATCCCAGCGGCGGGGTCCGGGTGGAGGACATAAAAGGTGGAGGGAGTCCTCAGATCCTCCGAACCACTGAGAGTTAAACACAACTTCTCCTGCTGCAGCCCACAGTCCACAGGTCGGTTTAAAGGTGAGTCACTGCTGTGCTTCCTCTTCTTATTCTCCGGGAAAGTTGACTTTTTTCCTCCAAATGATGGAGGAAGTTTACGGATGATGTTTAGATTCCGTAGAAACTGTCTCTAATAGTTTTCTGTTGTTGTTGATGTTGTTTTGTCTCTTTAGATGCAGAGAAGCTTTGGGATTTTCTGCGTGTCGCTCATCTTCTGCGCAGCTCTGTCTGAGACCATCGGGCTGGTCCTCGCGGTAAGACGTTCACATTTCATCTTCGTGCATGTGCCAACATATTCAGAGATAATCAAATAAAATATGCAATTACAATGTCAAAACACCCATATTTAGCATGTTAAATAATATGATTTAGAGTCTGAATACTTGATTTATCCCGAGTTTTGCGCAGTTGATTCATTTTAGAAGGAAATAAATACGACAAAAAAGGGATAACATTTTTTAACAAGACGTCAAAGTGAGAATATGCAATTAAAACATTTAATTAAATAAAGATATAAAGAACTAAAGTTAGGATGTGCATTAAAATATAATTAATAAAAGATATAGGAATAAGATTGATCAATGATAACATAAAATGTAATAAAGATGTTTGTATAACCAAAAAGAGTTGTGCAATGAAAATATAAAATAAAATGTAATAAAGATAATTATATAAACGTAAGAATTTAGTAAGAATGTGCAATAAAAATAAAATAAAGAAGTTAAAGTAAAAAGCATATTAAAATGTAGAATACAAATATGAATAGGAATTTGCAATGTTAAATGACCAATTTGACAACAGGTAATGATAGGATATAAATACCGTTAGAGGTATTAAAACACCGTGCAGATGTTTCTGCTGACACTGCTGTTAGTAATCTGGAGTTTCTTCCTACTATGATAGAGCTGCACTGCTTTATGTATTTCTGTCAATAGTGTTAAGATCTTTGTTTAAAAAAAACATTAGCTCATGTATACATTAACTGTGTGTGCTGGTAGGTGTGGGACTGTTGTCTACCGAAGTGAAATATGCTTGATATCCACACAATATTCGGACGTTAAAAGCAGATTTAATATCAATGTCTATGTCAGCAGTGTATGAGAAGTGAATTGATATAATAATTAGGGTTGCACAAGTATTTGTATCAAAGTCGCATTATGGACTAGTGCAATATCCAAATTACATTAAGAGCAATAATAATGCAAAATATGTGAACATATCTGTATTCTTGTGCTTCAGAGAAGTCCCAGCAGACAAACCATCTTTTACAGACTTAATAGAAAATCATCTTTTGGTAATCCTCTTTAATACTAATACCAGTATCATTTAAATATATTTTTGGTAGGGGTTACTTCAGTAGGTAGATGTGTAGATCACTAAGGACAAAGAGAGAGACAGTTACACACCTGTGTATTGGTACACCACTGATCATTGGCAGGCTACAAAGAAAGAGGTAGAATAGGAGTTTTTTTAATCATAATACTTTTTGTTACTTATGAATACTTTTGATATTTTGATGACTCTGATCATGTCTGTGGACCCTGCAGGCGAAGGAGAAGCGTGGCTGGACACTGAACAGTGCTGGCTACCTGTTAGGTCCCCGTAAGTACCAACTGCACACACACACACACACACACACACACACACACACACACACACACACACACACACACACACACACACACACACACACACACACACACACACACACACACACACACGCACACACACACACACACACACACACACACACACACACACACACACACACACACACACTCACACACAGCAATCCGTTGAGCCTCCAACATGTCCAAATAATTTCTCTGCCATGAACTTTGAAAACCTATTGCACATTTAGCCAATTAACAATATGCTACCTTCTTTGTTAAATTATTATCACATTTGAGTAATAGTTCATATTAGGTCCAATTATGTTTACATTTCCTTTGAATTCTAATATCTTTTCTATCCATTTAGTTTGTGCCGGACAACTAAATTAGTATCATTGACAAGGTGTAATTTGCTATACAAGCAAACAACCTGGACCTCAATACATCATCCATACATTATGATTAATGCTGCTGGCTTAGTACTAAATGATCTGTGAACATTTCAAATGTTGTCACCCCCCCCATCTCTTACTCCATGCTCCTATGTGTGCATCATTCTGCCTGTGCGCTCACACGGCATCTGTTTGTCTTGTTGAGTCTTTTACATTTATTCAAAAACAAAGGATCACATTAATTAAAATACAATCCTTATTATACACACAAGAAAACCAAGTTAGTTGAAGCAGGAGGGCACAAATAATAGCTTATTAAAAAACAGCCCTCCCAAGAGTACAAGTACATCGGTATTGGTCAAAGACCTCAGATAACAACGACACAATGTATGATAAATAAGTTACCAAGTATTATTTATATTTCAGGTCTCAAAGCAAGAATTTAAATACATACCACAAATGAGAAGTGAGAGAAAAGAACAGCCAGAAGCAAGGCTCTCTTTTAAAAAAAAAGATTTAAAAAAATGTGTTAGGCTTTAGGAGCTGTAAGCCAGCTGAAAAACACAGCATTATAAAAGAGATGCATTGGCAATATTTTAAGGCACATTTTTATTTGGCAATATTGCCTTTAGCAGAGTTACGATGAAAGCAAGCAGGAAAGCACAGGTGGATTTAATGACACTCTACATTAGTTTACAGCTACATTTCAAGAGCAAGGACCACGCCTCAACACTATGTCGGTTAAAGATTTAATTTAAGGAGATATTGAATGTAAGGGTTGAATAAGGATGAGGGATGCTGTCTGTCAGGCTGGTCTGGAGGACAGACTGAAGTCCAACAGAGAGAGACTCAGGGTGGGGGTTCAGTCTCAGGCGTGTTTCTGCCAGATCTGAATACCAGACCCCAGACAGTAACTAGAATGGGACAAAAAGTATGCACCAGATTAAAGAAGAATAGATTAGGGGAGACAGGAAGAGAGGATGAAGGAATGTAGGGGAGGAGGGATGAATGGATGTAAGGAGGGAGGGGTAAAAGGTCAAAGGTATGTAGAAGGGGCGAGATGGGAGTCTAAGTAATATGGGAATGGAGGGATGAATGGATAAAGGAAGGGAGGGATGAAGGGTCGAAGCGATGTAGGGTTGTAAGGAAAGATGGATGAAGTGAAGGAGGCATAACATGTCAAAGAGTTGTTGGGAAGAAGGGATGAATGGTCAAAGGGATGTAGGGAGGGAGGGATGAATGGGAACGGACACATGAATGGAGGAAGGGATAATTGGGTTAGGGAAGGATAAATGGTCAAAGGGATGAGAGAAGTGGTTTAGTAAATAAGATAGGAAGGGGAGTGGATACATGGAGAGGAAAGGGGGGTGGGTCGTGGATTTAGAGACCACAGAGGCAGGATGTGTTAGCAGGTAATCAGAGGTGTTGTTGAGGCGTGGCCCTGCTCCCCGAATATTAGCTAACTAACTCAGTTGATATTTAACCAAATGTTGGTACGGACTAACGTTTTGATCCAAACCCTGAGGAAAAAGTTTCTTTATATAACGGCGTTAAGTAAACAGAGAACATAATAATAATAATTATCTAATCTCTTTAAAATTATTTCTGTTTTTCTCCTAACCCCTGAGCTCACCTGTATTGTTAAAAAATGTTGCTTTTGTAACACGACTTACAACAGGAAAGGTCAAGCTCATCCTGTGTGAATAGCTGCTGTTCTGTTTCTTTGTCCACTGTCTCCGCTGTCAGCTCATTACGTTAAGACAGCCTCATTACCGTCAACACTGGGTATCCAGATGAGTGTGTGTGTGTGTGTGTGTGTGTGTGTGTGTGTGTGTGTGTGTGTGTGTGTGTGTGTGTGTGTGTGTGTGTGTGTGTGTGTGTGTGTGTGTGTGTGTGTGTGTGTGTGTGTGTGTGTGTGTGTGTGTGTGTGTGTGTGTGAAGCCCAGGTAAAGGTTGCTCGTGCCTCATCCTGTGTTTCAGGTCGTATTGATCACCTAATTCAGATAAAGGATTCACCCAGTGCCAGAGGCAGAGAGGAGCTGGTCGCTCAATGTAAGATAGAAACGTACTGCCGCTGCAGGGCCTTGGTGTCAGGCTGCGAATTGCTCTGTGCAAACATCCTGCATCTCTTAGCTGCTTCTGTCCCACGTCTGGGAGGGGGGGGGGGGGCGCCTTTCATCCCACTGCTTTTTGTGCTTATGCATCCAAACATTGCATTTCTCTCCGCTCTGTAAGCAAACACATCCATGTTGATGTCCTTAGAGTGAATGTTAGCTAAGGCGTTAGGTGGGACTGCACTGCGTTTAACATCATGTGCAAGATATATAGTATTAATGCACTTCAATGTCAGAAATGTGAGGATTCAGATTTCCTCAATCATGTCCTCATGTTTCAATCAAACTGTTGTCAGGTCTCAAAAGGCTCTGCAGTATAATTCAAGAGCCATTCCTTCTGAAAACTCGTCCCCACCCTTCCTGAAGCAGGAGTCTGTGTAAAAGTAAAAACCAAAACAGGAGGGTCCAGAAAAGCAGGAGAAAAGTGGTTTATACTTGAAACACAAAACCATTAAAAAAAATGCTTTAATAATTGTCCCCTTGTGATCACTTGAATGTCATGTATTTGAATTGGACTAAAAGTTCAACAAACGCAGACAGTACAGGGGGAGCAGCTCAAGCACTACTCTACCTAATGAGGAAGCCACCTAATGGCTCTCTTCAAACACACATCATGACCACTCGTAACATAAAGTCAAATGTGAGAAATACACATACTTTAAATGACTGGTGAGTAATGCTGCAGTGTAAGAACACAGATAAGGTTCTGCGGTTCAGTGAATGAATTCATCATCAGCAAACACTGGGTGAGCCCAAGCTTGAACCTCGGCTACGTTTTTAAATAGGTCACAGAGTTAAGCATCTATTTTTCTGAAAAATAAAAATAAAAACATTTAACATTGGGTTTTAATATATTAACAGGAGCATTTTGCTGCAACTTGTGCAACCGAGTCCAAGTTGCAACCTCATACTTTTCATACAAAATTGGGTGTTAAGCCCATAGATAATTATAATATGCTGAGAGGCACAAACTTGGGCTAGTAAAAGCTGTTTGCCTTGATTATAATTATATATGTGGCAAACACATGTTTATGACACTTGTACTTTTCATTCAGCTGATTAATCTCCACATATTAATGTTTATGTTATTGTACCATAAAACCACTTTTATGGTTTTTGAATATTAAATGCAATCGGCAGAAGTACAACTCTATTGGATTCTGAACACCGCTAAGCTAACGGCTGCTACGTTTAGTTGTTTAATTGAGTCACTTGTTAGCAATCTATTATTGTGGTGCTATCTGAGGTGAAACATCGTGGTAATGGTAATTTCTTAGTAGCACATGTTTTCTTTTTCACAGGGCAAGGCTAGCGCTAAGCTAGGCTAAACATAGCCAAGTAAAATGTGTGGTAATCAGTGTTAAGATAGAACAGACTTAAAGGGTGAGGACTAAGTGGTTGCTTTGGAAAATGAATGTCTGGTTAGGCATATAGCTTCTCTATGAGACCTTTTAGTGCTGTGTACTAAAGTGGTGAGAGTCCTTCCTGTACCATGTCTTTGCTTGTCCAATATATATATTTTTTTTTACGTTTTATTATCCAAAGGCGTTTCCTTGTGTGTTAAAACTGTAGTCCATTCTATGTTTTGTACTTTTCTGTTTTACTGCAATTCCATGAGCCAAGCCCTGCAGGTGGTCCGTACAAGTTTGGAAATGTAACCAAACAAATACAAACCAAATACCATGCTGAAATAACCAAGTGTACAACAATGTCCTTTAGATCTTCTTATGAAATCTAGGCAGAGTGGTGTCATTTGTGTTCTCTGTATGTATTTGTCTCTAATATGTGATGCTTCTGAAACTGTGGGATATTTAGGAAATGTATCCAAGTAGCTGTAATACTTTAATCAAGTTGAACTGCAGTTTACACCTCTGACATGTGGTGCTGTATGACTGTGACCCTCCCTGTTCAGACGGGATCGATGGACACAGGACGCTCGGAGACAAGGCGGGGCTCTCTGGGAAGAGGGACATGGAGGAGGACTACAGAACAGGTGTGTGTGTTTCTGTTTGTGTGTTTCTATCTTTGTTGGTCTGTAGATATGTGTGTGCGCCCTGTGAAACAGAAACCTTCCTCTCTTTGTGTAAAGACAAACTCAATTTGTGTTTTAAACCTTAGGTGCGCTGATTTACTTTATATCATTTTTTGGTTCAGGTTTCTCTGTGACTCTCTGCCATGTTGGATAATAAAAGCTTCTTCTTTGATGCAGATATCTTGGTATCTAAAGATATTAATTTCCCATATGTTATTGTAAGCACAGCTCCTGTCAAACTGCTCTTTGTTGCTCTGCCTCCACAGGTGCCCAGAGAATAGCAAATGGAGACATCATCCACACTGTCATCGACTTCCTGTCGTACCTTAAACTTAAAGGTATGCTCATGCTTTCTGTTTCAACATTCCTCAAAGTGAGGGTTATGCTACAGAATGTGGAATGGAACATTTCTTCATTATTAACTTTACCACACAGACTTCCTCCACTACCATTGACCATGACAAAAAGGCAATGGGACATTTCCATTGGATTTTGGAATACTGCAGAATATAATCTCTGTGTCAAATAAACATTTATGATACTTAAACGTTTTGATCAATAGGATATTCTGCACATATTTTGTAAAGGTAAATGCAATGGCTAGAAGTTCAAAGCTAACCTTAGGCTATGAACAAACTACAAACGTCACATGACTTCATGTCACCACCGCTAAGCCAAGTATATGGAGTATGAGACAAAAAATAATACTAAAATTAACCATAAACACAGCAAGAACCCACTTACTGTAAGAGTTTGTCATCTTTCTGCATTACATCGTGGAAATGTTGTGTACAAGTGCAAACGAGATAGTCATTTAAAAATCAGAGCAGTAACACTGACTGTCAAAAGGACACTAAAGTGTTTAAGTGACTGCACCATGGTCAGATATATATTTGGTAGCTATGGCTGGTTTGTGAGTACATGATGAGCATTGTGATTGGCTGACCCTCTTATGTCTGTAGTAATGTACTTGTGTTGGTGTGTGTTGCAGAGATGGGAGCCTTGGACAGCCTGCCTTCCTCTGTGACATCAGATGAACTGGCCAACCCCTAATGGCCCCCCCTCTCCTCCCCTCCATCAGCCCGAGTCATGCTTCTGCTATCCGGACCCCCTCCGTCTTACATGTCCCCTTCCTGTCCCACCATCCATACTCTGACGCTGGATTTGTCCTGGCTCCAGAGATCTGCTTCTTTGACTCTTTGAATGATTGTCCCCCCAATACAAATATGAGATCTGTCTGCTCCTATGTAAATAAAAAGGTCAGCGAGTGTCTGCTGGCTGTGGGACAATCTGTTCACAAACTCACTGTATTGTCATCTTAGTATTCTTTCATCTGATTTAAGAAAATGGAGGGAAATTAATAAACAAATGGCACTGGACTTGAATTGGAGTTTATTTCTTTACATAAGTATCACCATATTAATCACTTAGATTACAGTACATAACGTATCTGATGTTTTTCAAGTAGGTGAGGACAGTGGATTCACAAATGATCATAATAATCAACACATGTCTGAAATACTTCTAACTCACTAGGAAGTAATGTTTGTTATAAAACCTAAAATCCAGCTGTGAATTGAAAGGATTTTATACATGCTGTACTTGTCTTCATCAGAGGTGGGAAGTAACAAGTCAATTTACTCAAGTACTGTTCTTAAGTACAATTTTGACAGACTTGTACTTTACTTGAGTATTTCCATTAAATGCTACTTTAACTTCTACCCCACTACAATTCAGAGCTAAATTGTGTACTTTTACTCCACTACATTTATTTAATACCTTTAGTTGCTTTACTGATTTGGATTAATGATGTGAAATATAATCAACTATTAAATCAGACTTTAGTTCCACCTGGAGTAAATCTGCACAATGACTACTTTTACTTTTGGTACTTTAAGTATATTTTGATGATAATACTGTTGTACTTTTACTTGAGTAACATTTTGAATGCAGGACTTTTACTTGAGTAACATTTTGAATGCAGGACTTTTACTTGAGTAACATTTTGAATGCAGGACTTTTACTTGTAACAGAGTATTCCTACGCTCTGGTACTTCTACTTTTACTTAAGTACAAGATCCGAGTACTTCTACCGCCTCGGGTTTTCATGCAACTTTCTACTTCACTACATTTCAGAGAGTATGTCAGGGACCAAGCAGTAAGGCAACAGGACACAGGAGTGGTTTAAATAAACTGGGTTTTTTATTTACCAAAAAGTCCAAAGAAAACATCATAAATCAATAATTTCTAATAACTAGGCCTATAAAAGAGGTCAACAGAAAATACCTCAAAGAAACATGGCATCAACTTAACAGGTGTTAACTCAACAAACTGACCTGCTACAATGAAAAACCAAGGAACCTATATAGTGCCTTGGCCAAACCAAGTTGAAACCAAGGGATAATTAATAGTAACAGAATACACAAAGGACACTGACAAAACCCAAATCCCCCCTTTGACATGGAAGCAGGTGGTTTGTCCCAATCTGTCCCAATTGGCTCCTTGCAGTCCTCAGCGCTCGGCCTCACCAGCGCCATAGAGTGGCGAAGTCCCTCCCCTTCCGGTGGACCTCCATGGTGTAGTATATAGTGCCGCGCACATATACCATCAGGACGTTACTGATGTGGTGCGGCTGCGGAGTGATACTGTGTGTATGCAAGCCCGCATCTTGAACGCATGTATGTATCATGGCTGAAGACCTGCTAAGTAAATAAAGATGCCTCATACAAAGGTCTACGGATACCTTATTACTCTCCATGACCTGCAGTCAACTATATAAAGGACTATTACATGGTGTCAGAAGTCGGTCCAGTTCGTCATTTTGCCGGAGGTAAACAGATGAAAGTTTTGTTAGCCTAAAGCCTAGCTAACAGGTGCGGTCCCCAGAGAGCGGGAGTTGCAATATTTTTTTTGGAAGAAAGAAAAAAGAGAGAGATGGATCGATTCGAATTACCATCTCCACTGGTACTCACTGGCAACTTGGGAGAAAACTGGCGACGATGGGAACAACGCTTCCAAATCTACATGACCGCGAGTGGTGCAGACGGTGCAGACAAGAAGATTAAAGTGGCTATACTGCTGCATGCACTAGGAGAGGAGGCTCTTGAAGTTTACAACACGCTAGACATCGCACACAGTGAAGATGAAGGTGAAGAAGAAGATGAACAGACTGTTAATGATATTCTAGCAGCATTCAGAGCCTATTGTCTGCCTAAGAAGAACACAGTGTTTGAGAGACATCAGTTTTGGGCACATCCTATGTCAGGTAACACCACGATTGAGAAATATGTGACGGAGCTCAAGCAAAAGAGCAAGGATTGTGAATTTTATACCACAGAAAATGACATGATCAGAGACAAGAATGTGTTTAGTATGAATGACCAGAGACTGAAAGAGAGACTTTTAAGAGAACCTAATCTCACATTAGAAAGGGCCATAGACACCTGCAGAGCTGCTGAGACGGCCAAAGTTCAAATGATATAGCTATGAATGCAGCATCCCAGGAGATGTCTGTACTTGCAGTGCACAAGAATAGTCGACAAGGACAAAAGACACACACACCGCCTATACAACGTACACAAGACATGGGACAAAGACATGAAACATGCAAACAATGTGGTAAATCACACCAGCCAAGACAGTGTCCAGCATATGGAGTATCCTGCCATAATTGTGGAAAACAGAATCACTATGCAAAAATGTGTAGGTCAGCTAAAGCCCAAAATCACAAGACAGTACATGATGTTTCTCCGGAAATAGACCTATATATTGGGACAGTGAACATTGATCAGCTAAAGTGTAAAGGTGACAAGTCGTGGCATTCTAATGTAAATGTTGACTGCATGTGTGTCAAGTTTAAGTTGGACACAGGAGCAGAGGCCAACGTCCTGCCACTGAAAGTATTCACAGCGATGACCCGAAAAGCCAGACGTGAAAGAAGAACACATCTCAAACTAAGACAGTGCTGGTGGCATATGGAGGGATGAGATTGAAGCCGGAAGGGGTGGTAACACTCAAATGCTCCACTCCCAAAACACAGGCAAGTCTGACATTTTATGTTTCCAGGCACTCATCCATTCCCATATTAGGAGACGAGGCATGTGAAGAACTGCGCCTGGTGAAAAGAGTGGACATTGACTCAATAGAAGTGAAACATCCCACAACAAAAGAGGAGCTCATAGCTCAGCACCCAACTGTCTTTGAGGGTTTAGGTGAGTTTGCTGGAGAATATCACATCCACACTGACCCCAAGGCCACACCTGTCATACATGGCTGTAGGAAAATACCACTGGTAGTAATGGACAGACTGAGAGACACTCTCGATGACTTGTTACAAGCTGAAGTTATTGTACAGGTAACTGAGCCTACACCATGGGTTAATAGCCTGGTGATCACAGAAAAAAAAGACAGAAAAAAGTTACGGGTTTGCTTGGATCCCAGTGACTTAAACAAAGCTATACTCAGGCAGCACTACTCCATTCCAACGACCGATTAAGTTCTGTGCAAACTAGCTGGTAAGACACTTTTCACAGTGCTGGATGAAAAAGATGGATATTGGCAAATAAAGCTAGATAAAGAGTCCTCCCTACTGTGCACATTTAACACACCATGGGGGGGGGGGGAGATACCGCTTTAAACGTCTTCCATTTGGGATCAAGTCAGCAAGTGAGGTTTTCCAGCAACGCAACTGTGAGACATTTGGAGATATCCAAGGGATCCACATCATTGCTGATGACATGATAATTGCTGCATCGTCAGAGAAAGAACACGATGAGATATTACAGAAAGTGATAGCCAGAGCAAAGGAGGCTAATGTGAAGTTCAACAAAGACAAGATACAGTACAAGGTGAGCAGTGTCAACTACATGGGCCATACTGTCACTTCAGAGGGTGTTAAAGCAGACAACGCTAAGATCAAGGCTATCACAGGCATGCCAACACCAACTGACAAAACAGGACTACAGCGATTGCTGGGCATGGTAAAATACCTAGCTCAGTACATCCCAGGTGAGGCCACCATATCAGCACCACTGAGACAGTTGTTGAGAAAAGACAGTGTGTGGCTGTGGCAGCACGAACATGATGAAGCAGTCAAAAAACTGAAAGATGCTCTCATTACAGCTCCTGTACTCAGTTATTTTGACCCAAAGAAAGAGCTCATCATACAGGCAGATGCATCCAAAGATGGTTTGGGGGCATGTCTAATGGACGAGGGCCACCCAATTGCCTATGCATCAAGAGCACTAACACAAACAGAAAATAACTATGCTCAAATAGAAAAGGAACTGTTAGCAATTGTCTTCTCTGTTAAGAGGTTCCATCAGTACGTGTACGGATTGAAAGTGGATGTGCAGTCAGACCACAAACCTCTGGAAAGCATTCTGAGAAAGCCGCTTGGAGCAGCTCTTTCCAGACTCCAACGGATGCTCCTCCAGCTGCAGCGATATGACTTGAATGTCATCTACACACCAGGTAAATACCTACTGATTGCAGACACACTCTCACAAGCTGTCACACATGATGAACATTCAACAGTTGATGACATCACAGATGAGAAAGTTGTCTATGCTCTGGAGCCAACAGATGCTTTGAGTACTGAGATGCTGCAAAAGCTCAAAAGTGGAACAGCTAATGATGAAATACTACAGCTGCTGCAGGAAACACACAGACAGGGCTGGCCACGACACAGAAAACAAGTACACACTAAACTGGTTCAATACTGGCCTATCAGACATACTCTGTCAGTAATAGATGAGATAATGTTTGCAGGTGACAGGATAATCCTCCTGAGCCCGATGAGAAGTGACATGCTGCAAACATTACATGTGGCTCATCAAGGAATGCAGCGGACAAAACCACTTGCCAGAAGGCACTGGTACTGGCCAGATATGTCAAGAGAGATAGAACAAATGGTCGAGAATTGTGGGACATGTCAGCAGTTCCAGCCCAGAAACCAGAGGGAGCCTCTGATATCACTGTACGGAGGCTCAGTCACTGGTACATTTTTGTATATAAAGCCATGTTAGGGAAACTTCCATCCTACATCTGCTCCCTGATCTCACGGCGAATTGTAAGTGGCTACTGCCTGAGGTCGCATGCTGTGGTTTTATTAAATGTGCCAACTGCTAGGACTGTCTTTGGGAAAATAGCATTTAGATGCGCAGCTCCACTGTCCTGGAATAGTCTGCAATTGAAATGGAAACTGAGCAATCTGGTGCCACTAAATGTTTTTAAAGCTCGGTTGGATGCTACTCAATCGGAAGCTGTTGGTACCTGTTCATGTGGATAGTTATGTAAATTGTAATCCCTGTAATGATGCTGTATGATGTCCTTTTGTTGTTCTGTTTATGTTTTTAATGTTTCATGTGGAACCACTTGAGCAGGTCTCCCTTGAAAAAGAGATCAATGATCTCAATGGGATACAACCTGGATAAATAAAGGTTTGAAATGAAATCACACAACATTCCTGAGCTTCCTTGGCTCAAAATAAGGGCTGACATCTTTGAAATAAAAGGACAATCATTCCTATTGATGGTCGACTACCTGTCAAAATATCCTGAGGTGCTTAACATTAACGACAAGACATCACACACTGTCATTAAGAAAATGAAATCAGTCTTCTCCAGGATAGGAATACCAAAAGAGATAGTCTGTGACCATGTCCCATTCGCGAGTCAAGAAATGAGGAACTTTGCAGAATCATGGGGCATAAAACTCACTCATTCCAGCCCAGGCTATGCACAGTCCAATGGCCTAGCTGAAAGGACCGTACAAACTGTTAAACATGTTCTTAAAAAAGCACAACTAACGGACACAGACCCTCATCTTGCCCTGCTCATCCTGAGAAACACACCTGTAACAGGCATGCAATACTCACCCACACAAATGCTCATGGGGAGAGTGCTAAGGAGCACCTTACCGAGCTCCACCGTGGTGGAGGATTCATGTTTATATGAGGATGTTGGAGTGATATACAGTGATTCTAAGTTGACATGTTAATGTTCATACAAAATATAATTCCATATATTCTTATGTTAACAAGTGAACAATGTTAATATTGCGGTCAACTAAAGGACTATTACACATGGGATCTTATTTCGGAAAAAATATGTATTGAAGTCAATGGAGAGAGAAAGATTATCTTTCGATCCCGTTTGAATTGTGCCACGAATTACACATATGATGTTTGTCAATTTAAAAGATAATTTTGCAAGTCAAAAAAAAAAAAAAGTGTCGTAAAACTGTGAAGTAACACATTTTCTTTTGTGAAACGCTCAATGAACTACATCTCTTGCACAACAACACACGTCACCAAGATGGCCGTCACTACTGTCTTGTCAAAAAAGGGATTGACTACCCTCACTATCATAGATATATATAAACATATATATATATATATATATATATATATATATATCTGTTTATATATATCTATGCTCACTATCACCACAATGAAACACGTCCAGAAGAATGTCATGCAAAGCTGCCTGCCTTCGTTTGATTCTCTCTGAACTGCCTGATCTTGTGTCAACCATTTGTGCAGATAGCATGAAGGAGAAAAGATCGCCGATGCTAATGTAGCGTTAGCGTTAGCCTTTCTCCCCCGGGCTTAAATGGTGTATTATAGAATGATCACACCGGTGTGACAGTACTCTTCAAAGGGTTCACGAAATATGACTACTACTCTTACTGTTTAACATTTTGGGTTACTTAATGTTACTTCATGTTAAGGCTAATAAAAATGACAAGGCTAAGCCGGCTGTAATGCTAACTAACGTGCTTGCTACTAGCTAGGTAGCTAACTTGATCCAGCCACTCCTGGTCCTTTCATCAGACGGGAAGCGAAAGAACGAGCAAGACCCATTGCTGGTATGATAACAACCTGGTACTAAGCACACAGGCATCTTGTTAAAGTTATCTTATCTTAGCTATCTCTATTTTAGTGGAGGAAAACAATTGTGTCATCAGTTATGAGTGACATCACTTACGCGACTCTGGGATTTGTAGTCTTTCTAGTTGCGTATTTTTCATAGTCTTATATTTCAACAGTTTTACGACAAACTGTGACTTTTTTGACATGGAAATTATTTTTTAAGATTGACAAACATCATATGTGTAATTCATGGCACAATTCAAACAGGATCGAAAGATACGTTTTCTCTCTCCATTGACTTCAATACATAATCTTTCCGAAATAAGGTCCCATGGACCGGAAGTAGATGGGCGTGACTTCACGACAGCGGAAGTCCAAAATGCTTGATCGTCACGTGGTTCATGGAGACTCAGATTGTTCCCGGAAGTTTGTGGCGGGCCGTTTGAATGCATTAATAACAGGAGATAGAACTGCGATTTTTGGTAATTAGTAGTCAATAAAGGTTTTGATTTGCAATATTTATACAACATATCGATATGTGTATGTAGTTACATCAATATGTTTAAAAAAAAAAAAAGTTAAATTCGCTAATATTTGAGGATTAAGATAAAATAAGAAGTACTTTATTGATACCAATTTGGGAAATGTTTGCTTTGCAGCAGCAAAAGACAAGGCATTGTACATTAGACAGTTAAAAGACTAGAATTAAACAATCGAAAATGTAAACATCATAAATAGAAATAAAATAGCAGAAAATATAGATAGTGTGAACAGCTATTTTACCTGTCAACATATACATGTTAGGCTAACGTTGCCTTGGTTAAAGAGCCTGTTGCTGTTGTTTATTGCTTTGAATTCTTTAAAACAAATATTATCTTCTTAAACTTGTATGGTAGTCAGGAGCATCACTTCCTAATGTTTATTGATATATTTAGAGGGAGGGGATGGTAAGGAATGCTTCAAAATTTAGATTAGATTCATTTCTACCATTTTTTTAATTCATGGTGGTTTCAGTAATCCCATGGTAATTGAGGACATAAGTAATCTAAATGAGTAATGTAATCTTTATGACTTTCAGAAAGGACAGGAGACCGACAGGTGCCTATCAATGATTGTCAACTGACAGCACAATGAGTCAAAGGACTAGCAGCAGCAGCATGATGATGATGTTACATGTGTTGTTTTAGGAACATCCATGTAAATAAATGGAATTCAATAAACATTGAATAGGATATCATGCAGTTTGTATGCCTTTTCCTCTGTGTTGTCCTGGCATATACAGTAGTCGCCCCCATGGTTTGCTGTGCTGCCGGGGATGCTCCAATCGCTCAGAGAAAGGAGGACGAATGTAAGGTTTCCCCACTGACACAGAGAGAAGGAAAGAATGGCTGGCTCAAGTCAGCAGGAGCAATTTAACTATCACAAAAGACAACAACAGCAACAAAATATGTGAGGTAGGCCTAATCATATTTTTCACAAAACGAAGACCACACCATTGGGAAGCTTAATGTCTGGTTTAATAAAAATAAGGAACAGGGAGAGGCTTGCAAAACTCTGGGAGTTGAGACTCAGGCTCAGGGTGAGGGTCTCATTGCAGGTATTCAGGCTCCATTGAATCCCCCTGGGGTTCTTGAGCTGAAAGAGGGAGACAAAGACAGGAGAAAGGGTTAGATACATCTAGCAACCTATAGGATGGGAAATTGCTGACCTATTTTAAACTTACCTTGTGTTGTCACTCTCACTTAAGTCCATCTCCCTTTGCCATCAATCCAAAATCAGCTGAGCTGCAACATAATACAGACAGGTAATAATCAACAGAATCACAAGGACATAATATGGCTCTGCTAAAAACACTCACCCATAAGTTACGTTTTTGTTTACTGTCATCACAAAAATAGCTCTCTTCCTTATTATTGTGTAACGTTAACTATAATATACTATCTTGAACTCCAAAATGGATATCCTCATTTCACCACCTCCACCCACTACAATCACACGCCCCAATGTTATATTTAAAGCTCCCATGTCATGCTTTTCCGGTTATTACCCGTCCCCTTGTGTGTTATGAAGGTTTTTATGCATGTAAACGGTGTGCAGAGTCAAAACCCTCAAAGTACACCCTGTAGCGAGTAAAACTCTAACACAGAAAATACCTCCCCAAAACGCCTCGTTGGAGATACGTCACTGCCCATTTGAGTCTTCCATTTAGTTCCGGGTACGGCCTGATGTCATGCGGTACCCGGAACGAAATGGACCAATCCCGAAGAGCTATGGTCACACCCAGCGGCGCTGGCCGCACCCTCTGCCAGCCTAACATTTACTGTTGGAAGCTCTGGTTCAGTTCACAATCATCCAGTCATGCCACTGCCAAGGACCTGTTTCCTGAAATGTGAGGAGAAATCTGAGCTGTTTGTCCTACCGACGGAAGAACCACGACGAAGTCAGTGGTTGAAATTTCTTTTTAACACTGTTCCTTCAGAGGTTCGAAGAACCGGCATTTCACAGACGAAAGCTTCCAAAACATTGCCCAGTTTGAGGCCGGATATGCACAGCTTGTTTGGACCGTTTGGAGCAGGGGAAGATCCGGGTACACAACCTGTAACTTTGCATTGTTATTTGTGTATTTATCAAACAAGACTGTTTAAATGTGTAAACTGTGTTGGACTGCTAAGCCATTGACACAGTGCTAACTGTGCTAACTAAGTTGCTAGCGTTTCCATATATCAACTCTAATATCAGCAGATGGCCTTGCATACATGTATCTCATAGCAGGAGAATGTCTGCATTCACACACAAAATACCTATTGACAGTATACTCCGGGTGATTTGCCGTGCGGTCAGTCGCGAAACGTAATTACATTATAGCTGGCGTAGCGTGTATGCTACCGATCTAACCCACGGAGCTAGACCTAGGTCGGAAAAACATTTTTGTTATGCTACGTTGCTAGCGTTTAAATATATCAACTACAATGTCAGCAGATGGCCTTACATGTTTGTCATGGCAGGAGAATGTCTGCAGTCACACACACGGAATACTCATACAGTATACTCCGGGTGATTTACCGTACATTGTGACAGTACATATACTGCATGTATAGCTAACGAGGCTAGCTGTATGCTAGCGCAAAACAATGTATTCATGCAAGTTACATTGTATGACCGAACGTAGCAGAATACCCGTATACGATTGCAATTATAAACACGTTATTGCTAGCCTAATATGAACCACTAGCTTTTGTTCATAGTAGTTTTATTACACTGCATTAGAGTTGCCGTTCCTCCAAGCTAACGTTCATATCGTGTTAGCTACCAAGGTAAACAAAGCTAGGTTAGCATATTAGCAGGCAAGCTGTTCATTACACTCCTACCACAACTACTACTAACGAATCTAAAACAACTAAGTTTCCCTAATATTTTGTGATTTGCATTTGATTTCGTCCAGCCAGATCCTGGCGGACAATCCATGACGGGGACGGGACTTCTACTACTACTGAGGCCTCGTGCTAAAAGGCACCGGCTGCGCCCAGGCAAGATGCGGGGAGGAATGGATGATACACCGTGTATATATGTATATTTATGTTCATTTTGTACATTTCTAAAAATAAAGTTTAATGGAAATACTTAGTAGGCCTATCCTTTCTTCCCTGAATTATTTGCTCCTATAACATATCATTCATATATAGCAAACCATGATTTGATTTCTCATCAAACAGTAGTAGTTTATTACAGGTAAAAATAACTTACTCTTTGTTATGACCGGCTCGTAGGCCACAACGGAAAGGCAAGGAGACATACACAAGTTTACAAAACCACGGCACATTTATTGTGGTAAATGCAGAGATAGGTGGTCGAGGGGAGAGAATCACCGGGCCGCTGGGATTAATAGCACCGGCTACGGAGGTGTCCGTGATCGCGCTGATTACCCTCTTCAGCTCCACCCCACCGTAAGACCTGCAACACACCTGCACAAAGGCCCTGGGGCCGTCACACTCTTCTATAACAACAGTTGTAGGTTCAGTTCGGTTAGTTAGCGTATAAAATATCAGCTGTACCGACGCCATTATTACACTGATGTTCCCCGAAAAAAGCGGGCGGAGCCTCTCTGGTGGTTGACTAATCAGAACAGAGTGGCCGAGCTGACCAATCGGAGCACACTAGGCTCACAGGGAGGGGGGGGCAAGAGCTCCAACGAGTCGTTTAGTGGAGAGAGTGAATACTGCTGAATACACATGCTTGACAGAGTTTGACATGTTGTATGCGAAACCAATGTGAGTTTGGAAAATTGCACAGTATAAATCTATTTTAGTATACCTCAACAATGTAATTATGATCAGTGGAAATGGCCATGACATGGGCCCTTTAACTAATATTTAACTCCCTCCACCCCGGATAAAAGCACGTTAAGAAGCCCCTTTTCTCTAATTCCACAACGTTGGATGAAATAACATTAGGAGAACGGATTAATAGCTGTTCATGGTTAACGTGTGTTGCTAACTTTATCCGGTATCCTAGCCTAATCTGTTATCTGTAAACGTTCCCTAAATATACTGATTTAGGGATAATCCACTAACATCCTTTAATACACATGTTAATTTGACTCAGATGTGCTGATAATATCCGCAATATAAATCTTTAAACATCTTCTTACCTTTAAAAGTCCATCACGAACTGTCTATTATGCTGCAACTCTACTGCGCTGCTAGCCGCGGATCGTGGAGCCTCTCAAAAGTTCCCCGGAAGTCAGCGGCAAGCTAACTTCCGGGGAACTATTGAGGGCTCCACGATCCGCCATTGCTGTAAAAAAACTGGTCCATTGGGCCGTTTCTCAATCTCAAGGATGCTGGCTTGGTAGTCGCGTACTTCCAAGTCACTTCCTTCAGAAACGAAGCAAGTATGCTTCCAAGCCACAGCTTCGGAAAACGAAGAAGAATGGAACAGGCTAACAAGTGTGCAGGTGTGCGTCATATGAGAGGCCCCGCCTTACATTTTCCGCCACAGATTTGGGGAAATTGGTCCGTGCGCAAAGCATTGTGGGGATTTTAAGGACGCAAAGTCTTCCCATGTGCAGCCTCGAAATTTCCCCCAAACCAAGGACGCGGCCTCGGTGGAATTCCAAGTATGCTGGACATTGGAACGGTCCTGCTGCGCCACTTGATGACGTAGCATCCTTGAAATATTGGCTTGGAAGCCAATATCCTCGCGATTGAGAAACGGCCCTAGAGTGAATGGAGATGTCGTAACTCTTCTATTATACGGCTCTGGGCCTCACCCTTTGCTGAACCAGGAAGTAACCTCCCCCAATGGACATGGTAACTCAAGAGACAAAGAAAGTAATTAATACAAACAAATACTTGTGTTAGCTGTGCTAAAAATGTAGTGATGGCGAGATGAAGCCTTATGAAGCTTTGAAGCTTTCCAGCCAATTGGTTCGCAAAAGGATTCATCTCATGAGGCTTCATCATGGGCTTCATTTGAACACAAACCCCCCTGTTGGTCAAAGTGTGTAAAACAGGCAGATTGGACATCTCAACAGTGTGCTCTATCAGCTATCTCACACCGAGTTCCCAATGAGTAAAGCCTTAGAATAACTCTAAACAACGAACATAAAATCATATTTTCATGTTAACAATATTGTTTTTATTCCAGTTTAATGAAAAGCCTAAGGAGGCTGGTAAACATTGCAAAGAGGGATTTGTATTCCTTAATAATATTCGTAAACTTAACCATGTTGTAGCCTGAGAAAGGCTAAACCATATCAAAGACTACATTTATTAACTACATTATCTCATTTAGCTGTAGCTTTTATAAACAAAAAAAAAGACTTATTGCCCAGTCGTTGAACCAGGGACCCTGCGGTTGAGAGTCAACTGCTTTCCAGCTGAGCCACAGCCCACACACTGAACCTACCTGAAAACACTGAACTCTATTTAGTCCTGTATTTATTCATTTATATATTTATTTATGTTTTTATTCCTGAATTTATTTATGCTTGTATTTATTTATACTTATGACATGTTCCGACCTCTATATAAGTGAGGGTCTGAGCTCTCTTAATTCCATCGTGTCACCGGGCCCGGGCACAGGAGTGGTAATATGGTTCTTATTATACATCCATGGGTAATATGAGCATTGTGGTTCAACCGATCTGAATCGCGGTATCGACAGGCAGCGAGGCTTCGTTTGTCATCGATGACGTCACTGGCCCAAAACGATACAAGCCTCGATACAAGCTTCACAAAAAGCTTCGGGGATTACTCGACACACGCTCCGGCTCGGCGCAATACGTAACATCGCTACTAAAAAGTTTGAAGTAATGTCAGATTACAATCAAATAAAGAGTTTACCATTTAAAGCAAATGTGTGGTGTTAATTGGCATGTTTTATTGCAGCTGCACTGAAGCAAAACTACTGAAGGTGAGGGTGCAGTGTAGTTGGTTTACCCTGTGTGGCTGTGGCAGAGTAATATTATTCTTTTTACTTTACTACATCTTTCTGACAGATTAGCAGCTTTTTACCTACTCATATTTCTGAGCATAGAAAATATATTAGGTTTTACATGGAACAACCCCACAGTATCAACTTGAACAATTAATCATTAATCATGTTTGGTAGAAAAATAATCAGCTTTTTAATTCTTCAAGTAACACCTTTTATTCATTCATTAAGATTCCTTAATGATTGACTGACACATAGATGAATGTCAGACCAATCAGAGGAACAAATATAAAGTGGTGTTGATACCATTCACACATTATTTGGTTTAAAAATGCATTTAATAGCAATTGATAAGAGGAGTCTGGTCGCAGCCCGTCAACACAATGTAAGACGCCCCAATACAAGAGCTATTCAATTAGGATATTTTGGCTAACTATAAAAAAGATACACATATTAAACCATATTTATGGAATATTGAGGATGCTTGGCTTAATTTGGCTCATAAATGTAGAAGTTACATTGGATTTAAGCAACTCTAAGCTCTCACGCAGCAGTCAGCGGTGTTTCGACAGGTGGTGGAGGGGAACGGGGGGTTACGTATTGTAACCCTAGTTATATAAGCACAGGCGGAGCCCTCTACTGGACTCTATGGGTACTACCTTATCCTGCGTGCATTCTCCCACTGAGACTTCTATAAATGTAACCGGCCTAGGACAGGCCTACCTGAATGCGCGCGCATCACACCGTATAAAAGGAGGCCTCGCCTCCTGACTATCATCCTATACCTCTCTTCAGCGAGCGGAATAGGACAGACAGTGCCCTGAGTAGAGGGCTCCGCCTGTGCTTATATAACTAGGGTTACAATACGTAACCCCCCGTTATATCTCTCACAGGCTCCGCCCTCTACTGGACTCTATGGGTACAGTGGGTGGAGCCCTGATGTATACGCGCACTGTCGTCCAACACCAATCCACCCTACTGCCCCTGACCGGCTTTTCTGGTCAGCAGCTGCTGCCCCACCTTCTCCTTTAACCCGGTTGTGACCGAGGAGAAATCTGGGCTGCGGCTGACAGAGCACACCCTGCTGCGCCTACCTCGCAGAAAGTGTGCTCAAAAAACAGTGCCGGGGGACGGATGGGGAGAGCCCCCTCGGCCCTGTATGGGCTTACTACGCACCTGCCTTCCTGAATCCCTAAAGGCCCTGACACACCAGGCCGTCACCAGAGAAGTCGCCGACACCGACACCGACAGTTCCATCGACGAGTACACCGCAAAGACTTCAGCCGAGCACGTACGAACTGCGCATGCGTGAGTGGCAATAACTGTCCTTACCAGCAGGCGGTGGTAGTGTGTATTCGTCATTCAAAATAGGCAACAACCGGAAGAAAGAGAAGAAGAACAGACTGATATAAACAAACAACAAATAGCGTGTGCGTTCCATTTTCACTCTTGTCCATCGAAAACATGTTTTAGAATATAAAAATACATGAATGATGAAATGAGCACATAAAGTGCAGACATACTATAAAATCACAGTTAATACACCTGCATCTGATGATCGCAGTGTTCTGGCGGGTATGTAGTTTATTGAGTCAGCAATGTAGTAATGTATGTAATGTAATAATGGCCACTTCTTGCTAAATTTACATTTCCATGTGATGCTTTTATCCGAGGCGACTCACAATAGGTAAATGAACAGCAGTAGACAGTATCTAATTTACTTAGACACTGTACTTAAGGACAATGTTGAGGTACTTGAGACTAATCCTGCAACTTTATACTGACAAATAAACCGATGAGATGAAAAACCGGACTTGACCAAACAAATCACGGAGCTCTCAGCAGAGGACAGCCGGGGACGCTCCCGCCGATATCAGAGATGTCCCTGCTATGTGTGGGAGGTAAGAGAGGACATTTAAGGGCTATGTTTGATGTCTTTAAGTATCACCTGCTGGGGTTTAGCTGCTGTCCTGTGCCTTCTTAAATCGTTTGTTTACGTCCCTCACTTCCGTTTCGCTTCTCATTTGCTAGCTGAACAGCTGATCAGAGTGGTTTCTTGGCCCGATAGCTTGTGTCCGACAAATGGCCGATTCAACATGTTGAATCGGCCATGTGTCGAGCGTGAAAGGCCAAATAAGGCGTGTCACGGCCGAGGGTTCGGGACACACCAAATTGACTTTGGGCGACAAGGAACGCTTTGTCGCCAGACAACCGAAGACGGCCGAATACGGCCGAATACGGCCTGGTGTGTCTGGGCCTTTAAATGTTTTTGTGCCTTTATGCTTTTTTATTTCCCCCTGGCTCTTATTGGATGTATTATTTATGTTTTTTTGTCTTATTGTGAATGAATGTCGTGCACTTATGTTGATAAGTTGATGATATCCTCACCGAGCTTTTGTATGTTTAAAAAATGTTCAATAAAAAAATTAAAATAAATTAAAAAAAACATCTCATGTAGACAAGCCTCCAGAGCAAGTCGGACAAAATGACTAACCATCATGCAACGTACTAGCAAGACGGCGATCGCAATTGCGCAGGTCTGCGTCGGTCTCGCTCATCTCAAACAAGCCTAATGAGTAGTATCCAAAAAAACGTTCATTAGTTTAAAGAATGGATAGACCAGTGGACAGAGCCGGCGGCCCGCATGTGGCGAGGTGCTCTGCGCACCTGGTTCGAATCCTGGACTGGATGAACTTTTAATCAATGCCCGCTTTTCAACTTTAATACTTTAACTGATAAAAGGCCCTCTCCGGCCAAAAAAAATGCCTTTACAAAATAAATAAAAAGAATAATTACCTCAATAAAGATCATTGAGTGTTCCCCATCCCACATAATCATCCCCTGCCATAATTACACAAGCACACCCAACCAATGCCACATTTTCCAGCACTCTCTTCTCAATAACCCAATACACACAATTATTGTTGGAGCAGAACACCTCTGCTACGCGCCGTTCGTTGGATGAGGCTGGATCTCTATTAAATTAAGAAAGGAATTGAAAATACGGAATCAAAGTTATAACAAATTATCTGCGTTTACTGGTAGAAAATAGAACAAGTATACAAGTTATACAGAGTACTCGAGTACTCCGGGCTTCAGGCTTGTGATGCGGTTTTACAGGTAGACAGACCAGCTTTCAGAAAATGAGAAGTATGGACTCCAGGTTTGTGATGCGGTTTACCGTCTTCTAGCACCAGCTTTCAACAAACCAGAAGCATTTTACACTCAAAAACAATAGTATTCA